TAAATAAAATAAAATAAAATAAAATAAAAGCATGCAGCAAAAGTTGTATTGGTTTCCATTTTGTTTTCAGGTGCAATTCAAGGTGCTAGTTATCACCTTTGTAACCCTCATGGCTTGGAGCCTTGTTATCTCTAAGAGTGCTTACTCCAAATAGAATCTGCCTGCTCAAGGCACACTTGCAGAAACACATGCTCAGAGTTCCCATTCCCCAGGAATTAAGGTGGGAGGAACTTGAGACAAACATTTTCTACAGAGACTCCCCTATTAAGGCATTTCCTAATACCAGATACAAGATTGGCTCCTTCACACCTAGCATTTAGGAAATTGGCTCTTTCAGAGAGCATTTGGACTGGGAAATGAGGAATGCGTGAGCCAGAGACAAAAGGATATAATACTATTCATGATTTTTAAGATACCATTCTACTGATATAAAAATATTATTGTACAGATTTATATTATTGTTATATTGTTTTGCTTAGGGTTTAGATCTGTACTGACTGAAGCAGCATAAAAGCCTGTGAAATAAATAAATAAATAATTTAAAAAATGCATCTTTATTTTTGGTTTTTGGAAAAATCCTTTAAAAAGAGAAAAAAATGTATTATACCAATAGAAGAGAATATCTGTAGCTCAGGGTTGAACTGTAGATTCCTTGGGGTTCTCCAAGCTTGGTTGTTTTCTTGCAGACATTTCATTACCCGATTAGGTAACATCTTCAGTGCTAGAAGGGAGTGGGGTTTGCTATCTGTTTATATACAGTAGCTTGCCCTGTCAGTGTTGGGGGGGGTGTTATTTTTTTCTTGGTAGTTCCTAGATTAGGCTATTGTTTACTGCTTGTTTGTTTGTCTGGTGTTAATCCTGGTGTTAATCCCTGCTCATCTGGGTGTTGATGCTGGCAAGAAGGTGTTCTAGTCTTTTTGTTTCCTTTTTATTGTCTCTTTTGAATGATGTGTAAATGTTGCTTATCTATACGTGCCTGTTGATGTTTGATTTGTCTGAATACCAAGGAATACCAGGAATTCCCTCACATTTTTTGATTTAGCTTGGTCTAAGATGCTGACAGATTCTCAGTTGAAACTATGGTTGAGTCTGTCCAAGTGTTGTGAGATTAAGGAGTTTTCATTGTGTCTTCTGACTGCTAGTTGATGTTCATGGATATGCTCTGCTAGTCTTCTGCCTGTCTGTCCTACATAGTGGCTGTTACAATCCTTACACTGCATGTTGTAGAAGACTTTTTTTTCTTCTTGGGCTATGAGGTCATCTGGTTTACTTCAGATGTTTCGGAGGGCTTTAGTTGGTTTGGATGCTACAGTGATGCCATGTGGTTGTAAAAGTCTGTTGGTTGTTTCTGAGATGCTTCTGATGTACAGCAGTGTTATCCTTTTCATAACTTGTGTTGGTTGTGCTATAGTGGGTTGAGCGGTCAAGCACTTTTTGATAAAGTTGTGTGGGTATCCATTTTGTTGGAAGATGTTATACAGGTGATCTGTTTCCTTTTTCTGCTGTTCTGGGTTGCTGCAGTGTGTTTGCGCTTGTCTGAATAATGTTCTTACACAGCTCCTCTTGTGGGATGTTGGGTTGTTACTTTGGTAATGGAGCATTTGGTTAGTGTGGGTTGTTTTTTGATAGACTTGTGTTTCTAATTTGCCCTTTATATAAACAGGGAGCAAACCCCACACTAGCACTGATGATGTTACCTAGTCAGGTAATGAAACGTCTGCAAGAAAACAACCAAGCTCAGAGAGCACCAAGGACTCTACAAATGTATTATAATCAGACTGTTGAATTAGGATTCTGATTGTTTTAATTTACCCTTCAGAAAGGGAAAGATCAAGAAAACCCTAAACTTTTTGAAAAAAATGGCAACATTTAACGTACTAAATCGGATTATTCTCTGTGCAATATTGTCTATTACTATTGCCTTTGGGTGTTTTGGCTTTTATACCTCAGATTTTTAAAAAATGTTTTTACTTATTCTAGCAATATTGGAATTAATTGACTGTGCCTGTTTGTAATACTATGTATTTCATAGCATTTAAATCTGATTAAATCTGTTATAATCAGTATTAAATTAACTGACACTGCTTATTATGAAATAAATTTTTAGACTTCGATGACTATAAACCAGCTGATAAATTATTCTTATAGTGCTGACTTATACATACCCATAATTTTATAAACTGCTAACAATTATTAGCTTGTATTTGTGATTATGTTCTGTTATGAAGCAACAGCACTGCTTTCTTGTTACAGGCTGCACTGAACACATCTACTGGAAAAGCAGCAGACAGATTGAAGTTATCAAACAATAAATAATATGTAATTTTAGGATAAGACTATATGTTTATAAATTGCTCCAAAGCTCACCTCACATATACCTCTCTTTTCTTAATGATCTAGCTCTTAGGATATCTAAAGTTGTCAGCTGTTTTAGGGATGAAGCTGAGCTGATAACCAGAAAGAGGAAAACACTTTCTTTTTAGAAAGATTGTAAGAACCAGGGGCTCCGCTAGGTGGCAGCATCTAGCATATCTTGACTGATGTAAAAACAGAGCAAAACAAAACCCTAAATTAGGTTCCTCCTAGTTAGTAATTGGATGGTAAACCACCAGGGATAGACCAAGAAATCAAACAAACATCCCAGAAGGCAATGGCAAACCACTTCCATGTCATTGCCCAAAAAAATGGCACTGACATATCCATCAAGTCACCAGGAAGTGAACTTAATCAAGGGGGACTTTACATTAAGAACACTGGACTTCCCACTACTGACATGAAACAACTTCGACAAGAGACATACTAATACCAAACAGCAGTTGCTTTGGGAGATAAGTAAATGTGGGCAGGCCAAATGGTAGGCTCATCATAACAAAGTTAAAACAGCATTGCTTCTCCTATCATCTTTGGGCCCCAGACATTTAATATATGCACATTTGTCTTATTATCTAACACAAGATTCTTACAAATACTTGAAATGATCAGATGTGCAGAGTATGTGTTTACACTTTGCTACTGTTGGAAGAGAGAGAAAATGGAAAAAGGAGTGATGACTGTTAATGAAAATTACCTAGTGACTTCTAACAAACCAAGTTAAGTGTGACCCAGGCATTCTTCCACTGAATATTTTAATATATGTAGTGTGATAAGAAACTTTAGTCACCATGAAAAATGGTGTTAATGCCTCTATTAAACACCTAACTACTGTTATACTGAATGTTACAAAGAGGCACATGTTCCACATATATAGCCCATTTCCAGCTCCCTCCCGAATGCCTGTTCTCTACCTAGAATACTAAAATACAGTTTTCATTCTACATTTCCATCAACGTAGGCAACTTTTCCCTTGCATGCCACAGAACAAATGGTTGCATTTCCTATTACCCCTAGAATGATGGTAAAATAAGTAATTAATAATTAGAAGCACTTTCTGTTACATGCCTGGAACACCCTCGTCCACATTCTCTCTTCATACTTTGGAAGAAAAGTCTGAAAATGGGTCTAGTTTTCTTGCAAGAACCACTTCGAAAAGTCCTCCCCATTAAACAGGCACGCAACGATTCTCAGCAACGGGAAGGGCGGCAAGCTTTTCATTCCACCCCGTACCGCAACACCCAACCTGCCGCGGGGGCTCAGCCAGCCCCAAACTCCCGCCTCGGCCGGCCGGCCCGCCCGCAGCACCCCTTAAGCCCCGGCCCAGGCCTCACCGCACGCGACATACGTCGCCCTTCTTGCAGCTGGTGAAGAGGTCGCTGGTGTCCATGGCCCGGCGAAAAGCGCCGCATTGGCCCGGCCTGGAGGGAGCGAAGGCTGCTTCGGGGAGGGGGCCGAGGAGGCCGCCCGAGCGGGACGGATGTAAACACGACGGCAGGGCCTGAGCCTGCCAAGGCCGGCCCCGCGCTCTCCTCCCGGGACGCGGCTGCACGTAGGCCCGCCCCTCTCGCCGGGTTTGCAGGACGCTGGACCTCGCGGCGGGAAGTGCTGCGCCTCGCCCGCCCCGTTGAAAGGCGAGCCGGACGGCAGTCCTCAAGGCCCCGCCCGCCCCCAGGGCGGGCCCACCCACT